TTTTCCTAGGAAGAATTTTGAATCCTCTCACACACCACTCAGCAAAGGACCTCTGGTTTTACAAGCCTGGTTTCCACGCTTGCATCATCTTTTACATATGTAATCAGCAAAAGCATTAGTGTTTGAGGTGCACCCTCCTCTACAAGACCAAATTTCAGAAATTAAACTCTTAACATGACTTGCAAACACCTAAAATAAGCCTACTTACAACACACAGTAAGCACCGAGCAATGCAGGAAGCTGCATCTTGACACACGCAGTTTAAGCAAGTATCCAACCTGAATTGTAGTTTTTGGACAAGCTCTTAGTCTCGTGTTATTTGCAGGTGCTAAGTACTCTTGAATTTGTATTCTAACATCTTCGCTACCACCTTGTGCAGTAACTTGTAAGAAAAAGAAGGAACCAGATTTTTGAGCACCACATCCTATTCCAGATAGGCCAATTACTACGTTGTTTCATGTCTGCTTTCACAGTACGGTATGATGAAGATTGCCAGGATATACAAGACCAAGCACCTAGAACAGAAACGCTACTGTGTGTTCCGGTAAGACCCTGATGGCGGAAATGAAGGTTGTCAATTCCTATTAGTTCTTGCCATTTACATTGTAACAGATGAAACTATGTTTAACTTGAAACCTTAACCTCCCCACACATACCTCCTTTCTAAGCTCTCATATCTCCCTAGTCTAGACAAGCTCTGCTGACCACTAAGTACCCCAGTATCGTTCTGTACTTGTGGGTGCTCAGGCCCACCCCACCACCCCATCCTTTTGCTCCTCCTGCCCCGGCCCACCCTGCTCCCTAGCACTGATTTCCCTCGCAGCCATCACGCTGGACTTCTCCAATGGAGGCGGGGATCTGAAAGCATCCTGGTGTCATCAAACACCACTCTTCTACGCTATTGTTTGTCTTCACCTTTCCAGCGTAAGCACTGAGAACACTCCCATGAAATCTGTAAACACTTCCACCGTTACCTTCCAATGCAGCAGCCTATTTAGCCGCGGCTCAACAGCTGCTTTATGAACACAGTTCAATGGCTGCTGGACTGAAAATATTCAGAGAAAAATAATTTTATTTACAGCTAACACATGGGACTTCAAATAACCAGTAATAAATGCTCAACAGAACAAGACAGGCCTATAATTATCTATGTCGCTAATGACTACAGTGAGTTGGCACAGGAATTGCAATTTACACCAGAGCTTCTCCATCATCCCAAGCTGGCACTGCCTCTGCCACTACGTCATGGCTATTTGCTCCTCCTGCCCTCTCCTCGGGGTGACAACACTGTACACCACACTGTGAACAAAACCTGTGTTTGCTGCTTTGTCTTATATCTACCTTTTATCACTTCTCTGAACGGGTTCACCACATAGCTACTCGATGATCATGACGGTGTCTGGGTCAGGGCACTGCAGGGGCCAGGAAAAGCGACTGGAAGTGGAAGTAAAAGAACAGCCTCAACAACCAATTCCACTGAAAATGCCAAAAATGGGGAAGAGTCTTCAATTATTTTCATTCACACACAGCAACCTACCAGGCAAATTGCAGAATAAAAAGCTGGAAAATCCTTCCTGTCACTGAAGTTAAAATATTTGATCTTGAACTTAAGAAAAATTATTATCAGCTGAACATACCTGTAGCCCCACTTCTGTCTCCATCACTGTGACACTTAGAGAAGTGTCTGAAAACTCTTTGTGACTGAATACATTCGCCAGTGCAAGGGAGGTAAACATGCAATATTCTCATATGGATCACAGAAGAAACGAAACCAGGAACCTTAATTACACAGAACAAACTTTTCTGACTCATGACTTTCCCATCAAAACTTTTAATGCAATTGTAGCTGCACTTCCAAAGCTGGTGAAAATTCCTCATACTTAACAGATTTTGATATGTAAACAATGAAAGTATTGGAACAAATTACTTGCGCTGCATGCTCAGTCTCCCTTTCACTAAAGAAAAAGCAGTGGCAGATTTTAAAACAAGGGCAGAAGACCAAAATCTAATCTCACAGCTACCGTGGTAAGCACATCCAGATTTTGTTTTCTGTTAGCATAACCCAAGAAAGCTGACATCTACCAGGCAGATGGTGAATCAGTATGCACAGGTAAGGTGTGTGAGTGAAAGTTGCTTAAACACTCTTCACTGCTGGACTTTCTTGATTTGACTCCATACTCTTGGCATTGTACTAGCACCTAGTGTTTCTGCCTTCAAGCTTTTCAAAAGGAAAAGAGACTGACAGCAATAGCTGCAATGTATTTCTTGTATCACAGATTCTATGAACAAATACAAGAGCATCCAGCAAGCACTTGGTACACAGGCATAATTTAATTCAAGTTTAATCTATATTGCCTGTTCTTGCTCAATATAGAATCAAGGAACCTAATTGAATTACAACCTTTCTTTTCAAAACTCTGAATTGGGCTCTAAAAGTAAGGGTGAACCCTCCTACACAGCTCAAACACTCCCAACACTACATATTTTAATTCTACTCATTAAATAAATATATACATATATATAAAAAAACCCAACTTTTTTCCTAACCTTATCTGATAGTTGGGATAGGTCTTATGTGAATACACCTGTTCTGCAAACAGCCCAAGGGGAGAGACCAGAGCAAGCATTTCCTAAGGCATTAACAACAAAAAGCAAACAAATGCCACTCCAGTCTTATCCCCTTTGCATTCAGAAATTGCCCCCAGACCCTGTCAGTCTTCACTCAGACAAAGC